GGTGCCAATTGTTCCCAAGGAGCAGTGAATGTTTCTGCAACTTAATTGTCCTCCACAATGAGTAACATGCTCTGTCTTGTACTGGGGTAACTCAGCATTTCAGAAAGAGGAACATGGGGTGGGGGGGTTGTCTTAACGATCTGCTTACTATTAGAGTTGTTTCTTGCTTACCACCATAAAAATGAGTTAAAGTCACACCCTTTCTGTTTTGAAAGTGATTAAGAGAATGGAATAAGCGTTTAAGGTAAAGTCTTGGCTCCACCTGATGCATTGTAATTATCTTCCCTAGACCAAAATTTCAATCCTGGGGACCAAGGTCACTCTTCCCAGTGAAGATTTTCAGAAACCCCCTATTCTTCAATGGGAACTGGCATCTTTCTGCAGTTCAGTTTAATTTGTAGCACTATTCCCAGTCTTTTCTGACTGTTTTGTGTGCAGAAGTTTCCTGACACTAGAAAGGATGTAGTAGCACTTGGTAAGAGACATTTCCTTTTTTAGCCTGTATTGAAAAGATATTTAAATCAACGAGCCCGAAAGCATGGACAAATATTTCATTAAGTGATGTTGAAATTAATGGAGGAAATATTTTAATGGGTAAGATCCCCCTTGCTCACTGGTATTTCTGGCCAGCTGTACTTTAACAGCGCTAGTATAACCTGGTTTTATGTAAAAATAACTTGTTCTGAATATGAGGAGGTTTTCATCAGGAAGTGATGTGATGGGTTTTTTTCATTACTTATGAGGGCAGCAAACATCTAGAACGTTGCAAGACTTCACTGAAAATTCACGTTGGATATTTTAAACGGAGAAGGCCAAATAATTTATACCTAATCTGAAAGGATCTGGGTAGATTAGTACTAACATGATGCTACTTGAACTTTCTATGAATTTTGATGGCTTTAGGAAAAACAGATCATGTATAACAAACCCTATGAATGTTTGGTGAGATCACAGCTTTGGAAAATTGTATTAATATAACATATTTGGGTGACAAGAAGACTCAGCAACAACTGAGTGCTCATCATGTTAATTATATGTTGCTGAATTATAATTATCCTTCTGAGGTGGATTGTTTCTGGTGGAATATGAGGACATTTATCTCTGCCTTGTGCTGTTTAAACTGGTGAGCTGGTAGAAGGTGCTGGTGGGAGGAGGGAGGGGTATGGGCAGTGTAGCATTCGAGGAACTGCAGCACTGCTGGATATTTAAACCTGCCTCTAGTTCTGGTTTCTGGACAGAGTTAAGAGATGAGTCATGAAAACCATTAAAAATGGGGGAAAATGCACTTTAGTGAGACAAGCTGGGAGCTCAGCTGATTTAACTTAAGTGTATGGTGGAGAATTGCCCTGAGCTCAGTGTCAGGGCAGGTGTGTGGAGAAAGCATGGTAATAGTGAAATTTTCATTAGTGTACTGAGCCAGCAGAAACCTGAGTTTACAGCATGGATTTTTAGTGTGGTTTGGCATTAATGGTCATAACAGTTTGCTGTGGAAATCGTGAATGAACCCTGGTGCTGTTCTAGTTCGAAAAGTAATGAATTTGGGACAAACCTACAGGGGTCAGCCTTGAACAGAAGCTCCAGCTGGCTCTGGATGCTGTCTGAGCTGGGCAGTGGAGAGATGTTTGTTGTGACCCTGGATGGAAACCTGTGCTCATGCAGGAGCATCTCAGGAAGTCTGTCATTAGTAAACTTAATAATTAGTAACTCTCCTGGGGACCTTAGACCAGCTCTGGTGTGCGTGGAGCAGGAGACGTTAATTAATTTATCCTTGCTGACACACTTGTGATGCAAATACACAAAGTATTGTTTCTGTCTTGTTACAGAAGGGGGAGAGGGGTGAAATTGCTTCTCAGAGCAGCAGCACTGAGTCTGTGTTTGCTCCCTTCTGTAATGGCAAGGCCTCACTCTGCAAAAATAACCACTCTTGCTGTTTAATTCCCATCTGGAAAACTGTGACTCTTGTTTCAGTTGCCATAACTGCAGAAATAAGGGCATTTATACTGAAGGGCAGTTGAGTTTTAGGAGCAAAATCACAGACACATACAAGATAGGTGGGGCAAAATCAAGTCATTTAGCTGTAAGAACCAACAAATCAAGATATCATTTGTAAGAACACACACACGTGAGAAAGGCTTTCTCCTCTTTTTTTTTTTCATCTACCTACCCACATTAAAAGGATGTTTCCTGTCTTTTGTTTGTTCCTGTTTACTTCTCCTTCTTTCACAGCATATTGATATTTTCCTGTCAGCACCACTGTAATTGGTGGATTTGTGTGAGTGGGTGTGTAAATCAGTGTATATTTGCACATGCAACTGTTCATGGAGCTTGATCAAACCTCAGATATTCCAGTTAAAAGACCAACTGAGGACACCTTTTATATAAATGAGATTTGGAGATATTGGTGTGTATCTGAGAGCAATTGCCTAATTTAGTAATTAATTATTGTACTGTATATGTAGTGTCACAAGGTGAATTGTTACTGTACCTGTTTTACAGAGCTGCAGCCTAGAAGTGTTAGCTGGTAATTATTTTCATGGTTTCAGCTAAAGAATCTTTAGCAGCCATGCATTTGGGCAAATTTTAATCCCAGAGGGAGGGATGAACTGCTTTTAAAGCATGGGGGTTGAAAATTGGCATGACATCATGCTGCACAACTCAGACCCTCATTTTCTCCTATTATTACCTCGGCTTTTCCCGCAGTGTGTGCAGTAGCCGAAATATTCCAAAGAAAAAAGTTCAAATATGGGCTTATGTGGATTTTGCCAGCTGATATTCTCATGTGTGGATATTTTTGATTTATTTCCCCCTCTCCTTTTTTCTCCTTCTCTCCCCATCTCTCCCCTCCCTTTCCCCCCCTCTCTTTTCTTCCTCCTTGGGCACGGGACAGGTAAGAGGGAATGCAGAAGAAACTTTGCTAAACTTCCAGGAACTGTCACGAGATTCTCTTTATTTTCAGAACTGTTTGCAATTCTTCTTGCTTTTGGCTTATTCGTTGCTGCTTATGCTGAGTTTCACTGATGGATCACTAATGGGAAACTCAGTTGTGAGAAACAACTGAAACAAACCTTCTTGCTGCCTGGGATAGGATAAACAAATCTGTCTTTTGTTGTTTGTTTGTTTGTTTTTTACCAGAAGGTGGGGTTTTGGTGGTTAGCAGCAGCTTCTTAAGAAAAGGGTTATAAGAAAGAAGGTTCCTGTATTTAACACTCAGTAGGGGTGAAGATTTTCTAAGCCACGAGCTCTCTCTGAATTCATCATTTGGCCCCTGAGGTTTGGTCCATCCGTGGGATGCACTAGCCCTTCCTTAATTTCTCTGGCTTTTTTTGACATCATGACCTGTGCTGAGACCTCCCATTAATGTGCTTTAAAGGCTCCCAGCCTTTACACTGGGAGAAGTGATGAGCACTCATTGCCATCTCTTTGTCATTTGGGATGTGACAGGTGCTCCTCGTGTGTTCTTTCAATGGTTTTTCTAAGATTAGGAGTTTCTTCCCCTTTCAGGGAAGTTGCTTCCTACCTCTAATCGTGACTTTACCTCTTGTTTTTCTGTCCTTTCCCACATTCCCATCCTTCCTTTGGTTTTTGTGTGCATTGGGGGTTTCACTTTTCTCAAGATGCCAAGAACACTTTTTTCAGACCTCATAAAAATCAATTAATGCCACTACCTGCAGAAATTAAGTACAAATACCTCAACTCTGCATCCTTATAGCAGGGCCAGGATCAGGCTGGGATCCTCAGGGTGTATTTTGGCTGGTTTTGGTGTTGTTCATGTTTCATGTTTCCTGTGTGTTGTTGGCCCTTTGTGTTTCATCACTGTTCCTACACTCAGCATTGCAGGTTTCATAATCCAGGCACTTCTGTATTTGTTTGTGTTACAAATTCCATGACAAACGTGTGTTCTCTCATGAACTTGTTGCATGCAAACCAATATTTGAACAAAGCAATGAAAACCAGTATTAGTCATAATTTTTCTCAGAAGTCCTTCCTACTCTATTCCAAGAATGGACTATAGATGTTCTTTGATGACAGTGCATAGTTGTTTATATATTTTTTTTCCTGTGTCTCAGGTGTACTATTTGGAAAATAGCATTTCAGATCTCCCCAAGCATCCCTAAACTTTTTTTGTTGTTGTTGTTGTTGGTTGGTTGTTTGCTTTTGCTTTCTCCCCTGCTTGGCCTTCAGCTTGTCAGGGTGGGAAGGCAGTGGCACAAAATCTAATAAAGAAGACCTGGGCCGTCCATCCCCCTTACAGGCTAAACAGCCCAGTGTTGTTCAATAATTGGCTGCTGTTTATAGTAACAATAGAGAGATCTCTACAGACCAGAACCAGCAATGCTTCTGTTTTTAAGGGATTTTTCAAGGGACTTGTCCCTCTATCTTGTACATGTCAAGTAAAGTGGTTTTTTTTTTTTTTTCTCAGTGCTGCACATGTGCCCATAAAACTTGTGCCCACCCTGCAAAAAAAGTAAGTGCAGGATTAGCTTGTTACCACAAGGAGAGGTTTTTCCAGAGGGGATGTTTATAAACAATTCAAGGGCCAAGTATATTGATCTGATGGAATGTGGCAGGATTAAAAGGTTTGTACCTAGAGAATAAACCCAGGGCATTACTAGCTCTGATTTTTTCTTTCTTTCTTTCTTTTTTATGGCAGTTGTTTGTAGGAAAAAAAAATACTACCTGGTTCTGTGGTCTTTGAGGTATGGAGCATCTCACTGTTGCTCTTTAACAATAGTCTGTCACATAAATATGCTGCCTATTGGCCCAGCCAGTGAGAGTTGTCACACGTACACATGCAAAATGGATTTCAAAGACTTATCTGTCATGTAAGTTTTCAAAACTGCTTCCCCTCATTGTACCCTTCTGGCAATCAAGGCTGCTGATTTCCACGATAGCAATTTAATCTATTGTCTTGAGGGTCAGGCGGATGTGACGTCCTGTTTTTATCTTTCCTTTAAAATGGACAAGAGTTCCTGGCTTGGACAAAAACAAGAAATTTCAGACCAAAGCCATTCCAGTCTCGACTTCTGAAGCAACAGGGGAACAATGGTGTTGTAGGAGGCTAGAGGTGGAAACCGCAGGAGTTTCTTGCTCATGTGCAAGAGAAATCTCGCACAGAAGGTACTTTCATTTCTCATTAAGCCAGGGATTAATTTATGGAGGGTTATATGCTGGATATTCCTGGGGTCTGTTCTGATTTGTTAGTGGCACCTGCTCCACGAGAACTGGGGGGAAACTTCATCTGCAGCTCAGAGTAGAGTGGGAGGTGGAGGGGGACTGAAGGGAAGGGGTTTATACCCTGTCTTTTTTTCCTTGCCAGCATTGTAAAGCTGAAGCAATATTTGATTCAGTCACAATGACACCGTGCATGCACTAAAAATACACTAGCAAGTGTGTAATCTGGGGTAATGCCTGTTGTTTTCCCCACCATTCCCATGCAGTTGCCTCCTCTTGGCTGTCTGGCAGCCTCATATCAGTGGGGGATTAGCAGCATTGTGCTAGGCTGAGTTTTATAATAGATCTTTCTTTTCCTATCTCTTGTAAATGAGGCAAACTCTGCATTTATTTATGTGGCTGTGAATGGGGCCTCCATAACTAACATCAGTAAGAAGTGTGTCTGTAACCTGAAATCAGAATTTGTCTTTGCAAAAGTCATTCCAGTCTTTAATTGGAGGACTCTTATGAAAAGGGGTGTCTGGTCTCCTGGCATTAATATATTAAGTATGGTATATTTAAACCTCTTTAGTTTCTTATATTATCACTGAAATTACCTCCTTTAGGTGGAGCTCCCTCCAGCTTCCATCCTGAACTGTTAATTAATTCAGTGCCTGTGTCTTACCACAGAACACATGTACTTCACCATCTGCATGACACCCCTATCCTTTCATTATTAGTATTATTATTATTAATTTTTAAAGGCCTGGTTGTACAGAAGGTCGCTTACAGACGTGTAGAGAACAAAGGGTGATGTTTCGGTTGTAGAAAGCAGGAGGCAGTGCTAGAACTGATTTTGGTGAATGGAAGTTTTCACTCTGAAGGGCTTTGTGTGTGCCATGTGTGAACTGAGGTAAACTGGAGTACATGTGAATTTTGGGTTGCAATTCCTGTGGAGTAGCCCCTGTTTTCCTGCAATGAGAGGTGAAAATGGGAACAGAGAATAATTATCCTCCCAGATAACCCAGTTAAAGCAGGATGGCTGGGTATCTGAATTACTGTCTATATGGATTGTTGCTTCCTGAAATGTTGTAGAACCTTGAAAATAACTGTATAAAGAGAGGATAGAAGGTGGTGACGAGTCACGAAACAGACTGTGCATCCTAAACTAAGAATTTTCTGAACTCTCTTGGATTTTTGACAGATGCTCCTCTTGGCAGTGCTGCAAACAAGCCTACTGCTGGCCACTGTAGTCACAGGTAGGAAAACACGCTTATTTTTTGCTGTCTAGGGACTATAATTTATTTTCAGTTTCTTCTGTGAGGTATTGCCCCTGTTCCCCCTTTTTGCCCATTTAATCCTGCAATATGGGCTCAGGGATTATTCTCATCGTTCTGGAGACACTGATAAAAATATTGCTTTTGTCTCTTTGCCTTGAAACAAGCACGGTGTTGAGTCCCAAAAATTCCCTGAAGTCAGTGATGTTTGGCTGAACAAACTGTGGGGCTTTGCTAGTGCCCCAGTAGAATTTATTGGGATTGCAGACAGGCACAAACAAATGACATTCCTCAGAGGATCAGGGCTGAAATGGCAAGGTTTGGGTCACTAGAAGTAAAGCAAAAAAGGCCATTTCACAAATGTATGTAATAAAAAAAAAAATCTGTTCTTGATTCCGCGGACTGCCATGCCAGGCATACAGTCTGCCTAGAAGCTATTAGGACATGAGATGATCAGCGGGGATAAATTCCAGCAGATAAATTCCTGACCTATACAAGATGATGGTTTGAAATCGCATGTCATGCTGTGTTTTGATATCCAGGATTATCAGGCTCTTTGCCTCAGGAGCCATCAGCTTCCCGTTGCAGCCTTTTTGGGAATGATCACATCAAAACTTTTGATGGTTCTTTCTACAATTTTGCTGGGGACTGCACCTACCTCCTCGCTGGGGACTGTCACAAGCACTCCTTCATGCTCTTAGGTGAGTCTGAACTGGTTTCCATCACTGAAAAAAAGCCCAAGTATTTGCCCTTTGTCAGACAGGGTGGACCACTGCATGGAAAGGATCTTGGCTGAGGGGTTGTTTTTGTTTTTGTTTTGTTTGTTTTTTTTTTTGGTGGGTTGTGTTGGTTTTTTGGGGCTTGTTTTAGAAAGCAGGATTACTTTTGAGGCCTCTGTTATCCCTTGGCAATGTAGCTCACACATGAATGAGCTGCTAAGAAACAGAGGTTTTCTTACTGGCTCTTCTAAAGAGGGAAAGCAAGACCTTTTTTAATTTTGAATTTTCCAGGGGAATGTGGTTGTCAAAGCCAAATATGTGAATAGGAGCAATCCAACCCTGTAGAAATAATTTTATCTGGATGCTAAATCACCCCAGTAAGAAAAATCCCATCCTGCAGGACAGAAGACCTTGGAATTAGCATGAGCCTATGCAGAGTTGATGATATGTGTACCAAAAGCATATTTTACTTTCATACCAATCTGCTTTGGTAGATGTTTTTATATTCACCGATGACTGTTCTGTATTGGTCATAGTTTAACATGGTTTTAAGTGTTTCACATGAGGTTTTTTTTTTTTATTATTTTTATTTTATTTTTACTGCAAGTAAATTGAAGTAAACTGATCCTATCACTCTGAAAAGAAACCGTATACCAACTTAAATAGTTTTCTTCCTCAATTTGAACAGCCTGGTAAAAATTCTTTGTGTGTTAGAAGATATGCTCCCAACCCTGCAATATGACTCCCAGAACTAACAGTATTTGGTTGCCTCTCATCTCTTCAGGTGATTACCAGAATGGGGAGAAAACTGGCTTCTCTCTGTACCTCGGGGAATATTTCAATCTTCGCTTCTCCTTTGATGGAGCCGTGATGCAGGAAGACAAAAGGTACCTGTGGGAACTGGTTTTCCAGCAGAAAACAACCTGATTTTCTTTTTGTGTGTGTGTGTGTGTGTCATATTCTGAGAATCTCCCATTTTTCTTTCCCAGGGTTTCCATACCTTTTGCCTCCAATGGTATATTTATAGAGAAGGAGGCAGGTTATCACAAAATATCCAGTGATGAGCATGGCTTTGTGGTGAAGATGGATATCAGCGGCAACATCCAGATACTCCTTCAAGAAAGGCACTATAATAAGACCTGTGGGTTGTGTGGCAATTTTAATAAATTCCTCGAAGATGACTTCAGAACTCAGGAAGGTAAGACCAGGACTAACTGATTGCATTTCAATGTGTGCTCTGCACCATCTTCCTGATGGGTGATTCAACAAAGATTTCGCTGATCCAGCAAAATGCTTCTGCAGAACCTGTCAGGTGCCTCATCTTGGTGTGCTGAAAGGCTGTCCAAGTCCTTTCATCTCCCTTTCTCCTGAGAGGAAATTGCTGTCACATCTCATTCCTGCGTGTAAAGCCCAGACATCTGAACTTGGCACATTTAGAAACCTCGAAACTTTAAAATACAGAGATAAAGCTCCAGGTTAATCCATGCACAGTGTAGGATGTGGAGAGGCTGACCAGAAGAAGACCCAGTAAAATAGATGTAAGAAAGACATTCACATTGATTCAGCCTCTAATTTTTCATGAGTTAGACAAGTGGGAGTAAGAATAGGTAGTGTTGCAACAGCAGGAGATTAAATCCCTGCTGGCAGGTCTGTACTTGGGTTTGGCATGGGCTGTTCTACGAGCTGGTTACCTTTTAATGACATTTCCCTGTCTATAAGGGCTGTTGGTTTGGAGCTGCACCTGATATCACACCAATTCCTAGGGAGAAGTGACTTTTGCTTTTGCTTCACACTTTTATGTGAAGCCTGCGTGGGTGAAGACTAAAAAGAGTTCTTTAAAAGCCCTGAACATGACTTGGAAGTCCTGTGACTGATTTTTATTTGTGGCATTTCAGTGTCTTTTAGTTCTGAGCACTTACCCAAAAAGGAGAGGTTGAAAGTTGATTAATACATGAGTAACTCAGAATGACAATGTAACGCTTCACATGTAGTAAAAATAAATGATTCAGGAAGTAGAAAGGGAGAAAAAGCAACTTGAAAAGGAGCCTGCCAGTGCTCCAGAGATGTCTTACTGATGCTTGGGATACATAAGCATAGCTTCAGTGTACAGAAAAACCCCATATCTCATAGTGTGTTAAAATGATTAATCTGTCCTTCAGCAGTGGAAATAATAAGAAACAAACTCGGGTCACAGAATTGCTTGGCAGGGCTTGGATACCTTAATGTCTGAGTGAATTGAGAAAATGAAGTTTACGTGCTTTGCTCAAGACAGTAAATAGTAGTAAGGCTTTTATAAAAAGCAGGAGCAGAAAAGGAGACTGTATTGCCTGGTCAAATGTAGGAGAAGCCCCTCTGCTGCTCGTGTTTAAATGTGTTTGATGCTGTATTTGTTTTACTTGCTGGAGGCTGTATCCTCCCTCTTAAAAAAAAAAAAAAAAAAAAAGGCAGTCCTTTCACAGCCACAGATTTCTGAGTGTAATGAAGTCCATGACAAGGTCACTGCTTAGAGGAGCTGAGAAATAATAGAGGAGGTGACAGAGAACTTATGTTCTCTTGTAGAAGTCAGGGCTTTCCTCGTCCAGTATCCTGTGTGGATTTACGTTTCTCTGATTTTTAGCCTGAAAAACACATTTGTGTGTCAGCAGTTCTGCCAGTTTTTCACTCTGATACAACAGAGCTTTCATTTAAACTAATTTAGAAGGAATTAGGATGAGTTATGTTTGAATTTGTTCTATCAATGAGGGATGTCACTCCACCCACTCTCTGTTTGTTTGTTTGTCTCTGTGGCAGCTCTGCTGGTTCATTGCAGGGATTCTTAACTTGCTCCAAGTAAAATCAGTTTTTGAATAATTCAGATCACTTCTTTAAAAAAAAAAAAACAAACAAACAAACCCACAATTATTGAAGCTAACTTCCAGGTAAGGGACAGCACAAGCAGCTGGGAGAGGTAACACCCTTTAAATGAAAAGAGCAGGCAGCCTACTGGTAGCCTATGAAGAAGTTTACCCTTCTCTTTTCACTGCGGCTTTTATTTGCTCTCCTTTCAGCCTCATTAGAGCTCACAAAGGCCAGCCTGCCCAGGATGTGAGCTTGGTGTGATGACTTGGTGATCCAATGGGCACTGAAGGGTTACCTTAAGGTTACCAGCAGACTGAACTGTCCTGTTGGTGTGCCCATTGCTCCCTGTTAAAATCTGGAATTTATCAGATTGGGGCCTCAGTTTTAATCCATTATTAGATAGCTTTCTGGGGTGGATTTGATAAAAAAAATGCATTAAGATCTGAGGTGTGTGAAACCTTCCTCCTGGTGTTTTGAAGGCTGGGCAGGCACCTCAGGCTGTCCTGGCCTTCGAGCTGTGTTAATTTACACTGAAATGGTACCTGTCTGGTTACTGACAGTCCTGGCCTGTAAGAACCACTGCGATGGAAAGGTCTGCAGCCAAAATGTTGTTTTCTTCTGTCTCTCACAAGCTGTAGCTCAGATGGTTCTTCTCTATCATCTCTGTGTCTGTCTGCATAGGAGGAAACTCACATGATGTGATGATCGATTTCTAGGGCTTCTTTGTAACACCAGAGGACCAGATTCTGAATTTGTGCAGAAGTCAGAGTTGTTAAGGGTAGAATCCAACCCACAAAAGTTGTCTTTCATCCCATGTTTTGTCATGGTTTCAAAAAAAAAAAAAAAAAAAAAAGGCAATGTTTATGTTGAAAACAAATGAAAATATGTTCTCTCCATATTTTAGGGAAAGAAACTGTTGTGATTTAATAACACAGAGTTAGTTTGCTCTGCCCCTAAGAGAGTGATATAGGACTTCATTAATTGTTGGTATTTGGATTGTTTTTAGGGTGGTGGTAAAATGAGAGGCAAAGCACCTGCTGTATGACTGGATAGTACCACTTAAAGTAAATAAAGAGAGGAGTCCCAAAGAGAAGGGTGTTTAAAACTTAGTGAACAGTGTGCAATTGCCTTTTTTTTTTCCCCCCTCTTGATATATTTCTACTCATGTTCTATTTATACTCATGCTTTGTCGTCTACCCATCGACATGGTTCATCCTGTGGAGAAGTGCTCATGTCCTGTCTAGACTTACAAACAAAGGTGGATTACGTGTTTGTTTGTTTATTGGATGTGGCAGCAAAAACAAGTCCCTTGAGGGTTTGTTCTCACACATTATTAAAATGTAAAAAGAAAGGTCTCAGAAGCTTTGTAGGGGTTTTTGGTTGGTTGGTTGTTGCCACACAAGGAGCTGGGAGAGCTAATGTTCATTGTACAAAGGAATCAGGCAGCCCAGAGGTTTGTGATATGGCTGTGATGTGTGCTTGGATGTCCAGGTCATCAATGAAGTCTATTTGTGCTGAAGAGATCATTCAAGTCCAACACTGGGAGATTAATCTGTTATTTTCTTATTTGTCCATGTTATACAGTCTCAGCATAATGGCATTAAAAAAATGTCCCAACCTAAATTAATCCAGCATCCCCTTATGCTTTCCTCATGCTCTGGCAGGAGGCATGTTTCTGGGAATCTGTCTCCAAATTACAAAGACATTGATGATAAAACAATACCCCTGGAGAATTTTGGATAAAGTCTTGATATTCTGAGCCTGCTGCAGGTGTCAGCAACATATCCCAGCCTTTAAGCTGCTGAAATACAGAATATATGATGGATATGTCTGTTCACAGGAGTGGGAGTATAGGTTAAACAAGTAGAAGCGGACAGCATCTGCAAGGAAAAACCTGATATTTCAGGTAATGATTTAATTCCAGAAGTAGTATAGATGCACATGACTGAAGATTCATCTCCTCTATGTGTGGTACCTGGCATCAGAAGCTTTTAAAACATGTTCCAAACTCACAGTGATAGCAGTGCAGCTAATAAATATTTTATTGTGTTGTTTGTTTTTTTTTTTTCCTAGGAAAGTAAATTAAAGTTTTGGTCATTCTGAAGTGTAATCTAATTTTCTTTCCTGAGTTTTCATTTGGGAGCAAAGGGAATGAAGCTGTCACTTACAAATGGAACAGGTGGAGATGACTTCTGTTGCACCTGTCTTTGTAATAGGAACTTGAGCTGAGATGCCAAAAACCTGCATTCATATCCCACTGGTCTTTATTCTGGGTCTGGAATTGAGAGGTCAGACATTTCTGTTGTGAGGAAAGTGCCTTCATCAGCAGGCTGTAGAGTTTGGGGGATGGCTTTTCCCCCCTCTCATGTTCAGTATTAATTTTATGTTCATTGATCTGGAGAGGGCAGGAAAAGCTTTATAACCCCTGACTTAACTATTCCATGTCGTTAATTTGGTGCAAACTATAGGTCAGTTTTTGGTCAACCTTGCCAATAGTTTTCCTCATCTGGAACTATGTACTAAACCATGTAAAACTGTGTTAAAAAAAACCAAACAACAAAAACAGAACAAACAAACAAAACCCCCCAAAACACCCAAATCCCACCAAACAAAAACCCCCTACCCTAACAAACAAAACCTCCCTCAGTGCTTGGTAAATAACCAACATTGTGAAAGTTGTTTTTTTTTATGGACTAAGACCCTATTTACCAATTAAAACTTACAGGACTGTAGTGTCTTGAGCAAATTCTTGCATATATTTTACAGATGAGTTAACAGACCCTGGGAGCGAGTTATCTGATGGGCCTATGGCCGGATGGAAAATCTGGAGGAGGTCAGGGTTGCTGCTTCCCACTCGGTGCCTGGAGCACAGGGTGGTTGTTGTTGTTAATGCTTTGCCTTGCCTGGCCGTGGGTCCCAAAGTAAACAAGCAGCACCCCAGCTCCAGATTGCAAAAGGAACTGGTGGCTCTGAGACTCAGATATCACTGTGGAAGCAGATTTTGCTGTCAAGAGTGAGCATCACCTATCTGAACCCATCTTGAATCCTAAAAGGAGATACCAGCACACCACCTGGTTGCCCTGGGGGTCTTGGCTTTTGAGCAGCCAGTTTGCATGCTGGTATCTGTGTACCCTGGTCCAAACCAGGCACCAGTTCTTCCAGCACTGCTGTT